CTGTGGTACCTCCTCCTCTCCTTCACTGACCTGGGTGCCTGCAGAGCTGCTGCTCTCACATATTCTCACTCCTCTCTCCAGCTGCAATTGTGCAGGGTTTTTTTTTTCCCCTTCTTAAATATGTTGTCTCAGAGGCATTGCCACAATCCAATGGGGGCTCCGCTCTCCATGGGGCCGCAGATCCTGCCAGGAGACTGCTCCATTACAGGCTTCCCATGGGGTCACAGCCTCCTTCAAGCATTCCCCTGCTCCAGAGTGGGATCCTCCATGGATGGATATCGGCTCCATCATGACCTCCATGTGCTGCAGGGCACAGCTCCCTCACCATGGTCTGCACCACGGGCTGCAGGGGAATGATTCTCTGCTCCAGTGCCTGGAGCACCTCCTCCTCTCCTTCACTGACCTGGGTGCCTGCAGAGCTGCTGCTCTCACATATTCTCACTCCTCTCTCCAGCTGCAATTGTGCAGGGTTTTTTTTTTCCCCTTCTTAAATATGTTGTCTCAGAGGCATTGCCACAATCACTGATGGACTCAGCCTTGGCCAGCAGCAGGAGCTGGCTGGCATTGGCTCTGTTGGATATAGGGGAAGTTCCCAGCAGCTGCTCACAGAAACCACCCCTGTAGCCCCACTGCTAGCAAAACTTTGCCATGCCAAACCCAGTAGAGCAGCAAACATCAAATTAGGTGATGAATGATTCCAGCAAGGGGGTGAAATGAGTTGTTCACAAGCATCAGAGTTACATAGCAGCAAAGGGAAGTTACATAAATATTTCCTCCATTTCAAGAACTAGCTGCTACCAATGAGACCTACTGGATGGTTTCAAAGAACATAAAGCAGACAGTTAATGACAGCAGTTAATGACTGTTTCACAGTGGTTGCTCATTTGAGTCCTTTTGTTCATTTTTTAAATGAACAAAAGATCATTATTTTAATCTGATAGTTCTCTTCCAAACACCCTGCAGAGGCTTTTGGCTTTTTATATATTACCCATGATTTATTCACTTCTGGCTATAGTTTAAACATTCATAGAATCATTATTAGAATATCTTGTGATCAATTTTAAATGTTCATGTGGAATGGCAATCTTATAAGCAGAGGGTTGCTTTTGTAGACAAACATTAAGCATTCTTCCTTTGAATAGAATCTCCATGGGATCAAAATTGATTGTACGATACATGTCCTTCTGTGACTGTGTCTCCAGAGACAGGTGCTTTTGAGCATTAATATGATGTTGTTGCCAGATATGATGTATATAACGTAAGTGTAGTATTTCAAAAGGTGCATTTGGTCTGTTTCTGATTCAGAATACTTTATACACTGTGAGTGGATGTGCTCTTTTAAAAATGCAACGATTTCAATACTGGAAGAATGATTGATCTCTGATAGTGTTCATGCTGATGTGTGCCATAAAGTCTACCACAGCAAGTGTAAAAGTAATAAATTCCTTCCTTTGGTTAGCATAAATGTAAACATCACAGTTTCAATGTAATATGAATAAAACTGTAATCATATTTTAAAAGAAAACTTATTACTATATAAATAAACCAGCCCTGACTGGCTTTCATAAAAAAGGTAAAATTGTTTCTCTCTAAATATTGTAGGAAAGAAAGAAGAATGAACATTTAAACCATGATGCTGTATTTGAAACATTTGGACAGCATATTCTATGCAAAGGAATATGTCAGTTAACAAGGTGCATAAATGTTTTATCAAGTACTTATTTTGATCAAGTTACGTGTATTTAAATGTCAACAATTGTTTTGCAGTACCAGTCGTGAAGCAGACTTGGGAAAGAGAAGCTGCCCTTATTGAATACTACAGTGATTATGCAGACATCTCCATTCCTACTATAGATTTAGGTGTACCTAATACTGACAGAGGTGAGCTATTGACTGTTGTTGTCAGTTTTGCACAAACAACTGTCTGAAGATGATGAGTTTTGTGGATGATACCTGTATTTCTTGTAGAGTATGAAATTCAGAAGTTCTGTATTTCTACAGCACGTTTGAGCAGCCTAAACTAAAAAATGCTTTTGCCACACAGAAAGTGGATGGAGAGTACAGTTCACCTGTGTAATAAGAATATTCTTTTTAGTAGAAACCTAAATACGCTGATATACACTAAACAACAAAAATTGGTATTATTACGTGGGGTAAGACTAATAACTTTTGAGGTATTGATGATCTTGAATAACTTTATCAATAGTAGCGGAAGTCATAGATTTATTTCAAAAGGCCTCATACAGTGCCACCTGGTCACTGGACATGAACTACAATGCCATATGGTATACAAATATTATATGCTTGTTTCCTAGTATGTCTTGATTTAAGCTCAAAACCTAAATGTTAAGATTGGAAGATCATTTTATGAAAAAATAATGTGGTTTTAATTTACTTCGTGTTTGAATAGAAAAAAGGCTATGGATGTGATGGCTTCCATTAATTTTAGGGGTTTTTTTCTTTCATATGATCACTTGTTCTTAGGTTTATAGACTCTGCTACGGGCTATTATGCACCTTCTGAATGAGAAGTGCCCAATCTGTGGCCTATTAGCTTTACCTGGCCCACTTGGTCAGTTGTTCTGATCTCTGGATTATTTGCAGCTTTCCAGCTGCCTTTTTTTTTTGTCCTCCAGAGGGTCTGTTAGAGGCAGAGAAAGAACAGGCAGGGATTTCTGTTTTCACATGTGCAGCGTGACTTGTGCAACCAGTGAGTGTTTTCAGGAGGTGGCAGACCTTCCAGGCACGTGTGGATCATCTGTAGAAGCTGTGCCCAGTAGTTCTTGTCACACCAGGGGGAAGGAACCTTCCATGTTTGGCCTTTGAGCATTGCTGGGGGGGGGCAGTGGGCATCTGGCATTCTAAACTAAACAAATCGTGCTGAGTTTGCTCTAATACTATTTTTGTCCATCTAGTTGATGGAATATGATATAGAAATCTTGGTTTTAATTTTGTAAATACTCATATATCAGTCTGCATTGTTACGGTTTCACAAAATGAATAAATCCAGGACTTCCTTCATTTCTTAAGCATAGAGTTACTGCATTTTCTCAAAAAATATTTTAACTGGAAGTAGCTTCAAATATAGTATCCTATCATTATTTTTTAATGATTGTCTAGTAATTGTAATATTGATAGCAATAATTGCTTTAGATAGTCAGCTGTAATCTAGATGAATAAAGACTGTTTGCAATTAGATTTTTCTGAGATCGAAAGAAGATTCTGTAGAAGTCTGAAATTTCTTGTTTCTGCTGTCCTGCTCATCCTGAACAAGGATGTTTTACTCCTGAATTCCCAGTAAAGGGTGTTTTACCTCTCAACTTCATTATAGTCTCATGATAAATGTTAAGGCCTTTCCTTTGAGGAAGTTATCAGGACCTGAGTTGCTGATGATTAGTACAGTAGATTAATGTAAACTTAAATATTTATAAAGAAGCAATGGACCTGCCTGATGCGTGATGAAATGCTATGAAAATATCTTGGAGTATTTTGCAGAACATGTTTTTCTCAGTCTCCTCATTTTACTGTTTTACAGAGTAAGAGTAGCAGTTTGCTGAGTGTTCAACATCTTGACAGGATAGCTGGCATAAAGCTTGTTTTTCAGGTTTCCATAATTCAAAGAATTTCCCTGCTTCAGCATTCTTCAAAAATACGTTCTTGCTTAGAAAGCAATGCTTGCATTGGAACAATTTGTACAGATACCATTTAGCACAACAAAGAATGTAATTTAAACTTGCATCTCAAATATTTTTCCAGTGATTACCAAAATGTTTTGTATAGTGCAGCAGAATACTGATTTAATTCATGAAAAATGGTTTATTATAAAATCTCACTTTATTTAAACGTATATTCTGTTTTTTCTCTTTCTTTAGGTCATTGTGGGAAAACATTTGCCATTTTGGAAAGGTTTTTGAATCATAGCTCTTCCAGAACTCCTTGGTTGGTCATAGTGGATGATGACACACTGATAAGGTATACATTGCAATACTTCAGGAATTACCACTGTTCATGTCAGTACGAGTTTTAGCAATCTTCATCTCTTATGTGTTTGTTTTATTAGTTATGTAGCTTTATATTTCTTTAAAGAAAAAAAAGTCACTTTCCTTCAGCATTCCTTGACTGACACTAAAACCAGTGTAATCTTGTAACTTGATAAAAGCTATGCATATTAGTGTTATTATGCAACCATATATTCTGAATATGATTACACGTTGTGATTCTTCAGGTATGTCTGAGCTGATTGAAGGAATACACCTTCTAAGATGTATTCCTTACGTAAATGTGCCTCAAGAAAGGTTCCATAAGCTAGGGCCTGTGTCAGGCACACAGACCCATGTCCAGGGACTTGCCTTTGTTAGAAATTTAGAGCCTGTTCACATGAAAACTGGCATCACAGTGTAAGTGAAATAAGGCACAGCAGTCAACCAGCAGGATCGCAGGGTCATGACCATGAGAATAAGCGCTTCAAGACGGCACTTCACATTAAAGCATGTGACAGAAGAAGAGTTTGGAAGAGGCTGTAACTGTAGATAAATCAATAGTCGTATAAGTAAATCTACCTGTTTGCTTTTCAACTGCTGGGGAGAAAAGATGATTTGCTAAGATCTTACCATTGTTAGGAAAAAAAAAAATCATCTTTTCTCTGAGATGAGACTCAGTTTTGCTGATAAACTTTGCTTGCTTCAGAAAAATATTTTTAGCTAATTGAGTCATCGTTTGACCAAATTCAGCAACATAAGTTTCATTTCTGGTTTTTGTATAATTTCCGAATTTCTCCTATCATTTTTGTGCTATTTACTAGAATGCATTTAGGCTAGTAGTGTCTGTTGCAAATTGAATGTCTAAATGGTGGGGTTTTAAATTGTTTTTTCATATTATAGTATCTTCAGGCTCCAAAAATTGCTCAGCTGCTATGACCCAAATGAACCAGTATTTCTTGGAGAGCGTTACGGTTACGGCTTGGGAACAGGAGGATATAGTTACATCACTGGCGGAGGAGGGTAATTTATTTAAACTCCTACTGAGATCTACATCAGTCCCTGCTTTGAGTGCAGATACTTTGAATTACAACACAAATCAGTTTCAGCAGAAACAGAGATGTTTCCTGCTATAGTTAAAATGTAATGATGCTCCAAGACCCAAATGTCCTAACTAGTAAAAAGTTGTGCTGCTGGGAACAGATTTATAGAGCAAAACAGTTGGTTTCAGAAGGGGTAATTTTGGCTTGACTGGTCCTATAAGTAATTAAAACTAACTAAAATAAAGTACTTCTTTTTCAGAAAATGCCTTTTGCACTACTTGTCGACACTGATTTCTCAAATTCTGAAATTTCAGATCTTTTCTGCCAGAGGGCCACATTTTGTCGTGCAGTTATATCATTTATCAATACATAGTAATTACAGTCATTTGGCTTCTCTAGTACTTATTGTCTAATATGTTTCATTTGCTTTTGGTTTTTTAATCCAGGATGGTTTTCAGCAGAATAGCTGTTCAGAAACTACTTGCTAGTAAATGCCGGTGTTACAGCATGGATGCGCCTGATGATATGGTCCTTGGGATGTGTTTCAGTGGCTTAGGAATCCCGATAACACATAGTCCACTTTTCCATCAGGTCAGAGAGTTATTTTTACTAGTATTTAACGTATGTCTCATTATTTCAAGTGTGCACATAAAACAGGACTCATAAATATTTCAAACTCATAAATAATGCAGACTCAATCAATGTATAATAATGATAACCAACATGCTGCTCCTATACCTTATTTCTCTACAGAGCAAGCAAATAATATTCTCAAAGCATGGATTACCATAATGCTTTAATAGTTTAAAGATATTTCAGTTACCCTAAGACTACATTTTGTAAAAAATGCAGTCAGAAGTGGGAATTGTGAAGAAGAAATAGAATTAGGAGCCACATGCTTTGAATTCTTGTGGTATGTTCTCTAAGAAAAGAAAAATCCCTGTGCCACAATACTTCTTTCTTCAGGTAATGGAGAACTGACTGTGAAATATTTCAGTAAATTTTTCTTTTCTACTTACCCATTTTTCCTGCAGTGTTTAATATTCTGAAATATCTTATTACTGAAAATATAAAATGTAAAATTATTCCCAGAACTGTTGCTTTTGTGGTGAATTCTGAAGAATGGTATAAATATGATAAATTGCCCTATGCTAGCACAGGGGAAAAAGAGGTCACAAAACCTAATTTTCTTATGACTATATTCTCCAGTTTGGGAGAAATGGATTAGAATAGATTAGAATCTTGTTTCTGTCTTCCAGAATATTTAACAATCTAACTGCAGCATTACAATTGAAAACACAATGCCAGAGAGATTTGCTGCCTCATAAACCGCTTTACCTTCCTCCCATGGCATTAAAGAGAAGAAGCACGATTTTTTCCCAACAGCACACTATATTTTTAAAAAGCAGCATTTAAGTCAGTGTGGTGTTCAGTGATTTTCAGGTGTTCATCTAGTTTAAAAACTGGAAAGACCTGTGTATCTCAACATGAACTGAGATTAAGATAATAGGGTACTTGAAAATTAGTAAATTGCCATGTAATTCAAAGCAGCTGTCAGTGTGGAGGGGAGAGGTTTGCTATTTAATTTATCAGGTTTTCCTGTATTAAGATTCTCTTTCTGATTACATTTACTATTTACAGAAATGGGAAGGCTGAGAAAGCACTATTCAATATTTTAATTCCTTGTCCATATAAAAAAATCGTAGCTGTTTACTTTCCTGTTTTGCTCATCATCACATACTACTTTCAGTATAGAAAGCAAGTAATGCATCTTATAAAATCAACAGAGTTATTGAATAATTTGTGCTGGCACATGTGTTTGTTTAAAAAAACCCCAACAGCTAACTAAAGGAGAGTCAGAAAGAACAGAAGTCATTTTACAGGTATGTAGGAATGGTTCTTATGTAACAAAACAAAGCACTTCCTTGTAATCCTTAATGGTGTGCATTTGCTACTGAATCACTTTGAAAGTGAAATCCTAGCAGTTTGATTTTCCACATAGAAAATTGCACTTGAATTGTAATTCATCTTTACTGTTGCTTACAACAAATTCTAATTTAACATACCTTAAACAAAAATTAACCTGGGGAGCAGGGGGAACTACTGAATAAAAACTGAGTGGGCTTATTCTACAAATACCACTATTAGGCAATAAATATTTTAAAAATGAGAAAAACAGAATTGGATTTTCTGTCAACCAGAAAATTATTTTTTAAAGACTTGACTGAAATACTGTGATGTACAGTGTTCCTTGAAGTACATGAATCCAAAATTGTACTGTGTGTATATTATAAACAGAAGCAAAGGTATCTTCATCCCTGGAGACATTCAAGGCCAGGCTGGATGTGTTTCTGAGCAACCTGGTCTAGTTGAAGATGTCACTACTCATTACAGGGGGGTTGGATTAGATGACCTTTGAATGTCTCTTCCAACCCAAACTGTTCTATGATTCTATTTTACCAAGGACCACTACAGGTGGGGCTTTTTTATATATAGGTGCACTTACATGCTGTCAGAGGAAGTGAAATGTGCTTGGTACATTGAGAAGTCAGCTGCATCGTGTAGCTGTGTTGTAATTCTGTCTCTTTTGATATGACCTGATGAAGAATAACAATGCAATTTTCTGGCACCACAGTATTTCCTGTGTTTGGTAACCTTTCCCCGTCATAAAACTTCATATATTTCAGCCGCTTACAGCCCTGTTAGGATTCTACAGTTGCACTGGCAGTGCTGGCAACTCCATTAATAGGAGGAGCAAGAGAATATCACTTAAAATCATTCTGTTGTTATTGAAACAAAACTGTATATTTAAAAAGATGCAATACAAACTACACTGTTTATCATTTGCTTTCATAGATGGTTTCATCCTGAGAAGTAGGGCATGTTTAATGTCAGTGTACTTCATAGCATGATGACTGCAGTGCAAGCTGAAGATCTAAACTAATGCCTATCAATTGATTTAATAGAATGATGTGAAAACACCTTTGTTATCATCTTGTATATTTTGTCAATGCTACATTGCTTTGTTGTGATAGACAGGCATCAGTACTTTCTTGTTCTAAAATTATCCTTCATCACTGAATACTAGTGGTTTTGGTTTGTTCTTCCACCTTAGGCAAGGCCAATGGACTACCCAAAAGGCTACCTTTCTCACCAAATTCCAGTATCATTTCACAAGCATTGGAATATTGATCCAGTGAAGGTATATTTCACATGGCTGGCACCAAACACAGAAGAGCCACTTAATGGAAAGAAAGTCGGATATAACAGAGAGGATTTATAAGCAGTAGAATGTAAGTGTTGATTGATGTACTGCAGAGGAGACAGTCACTACTGTGATTTTTGTGTTGTTGTTGCGTTGTTCATCATCTGTTCATGATACAGAAGACAAGGTTTGTTCCTGTTTGTTACATTCATTCAGAGCAATGGAAGAAGGCACCTAATTGACTCTTGGATTCTTTTGTCACACTTGGTTTCTTTTTAAAATATTTTGGGGTTTTGTATACCAATGAGCTTGAAATATGTTTAAAATGTCTCATACAACTTTGTGTTTTGGTTTGGACTTCAAGTCAGGCAGCTTCGATTTACATCTTCTTCTTTTGTTCTCTCACAAGCTGAAGTTATATATTTGGGAGCCTAATACTGAATATGTATTGAGTATCTATTGAACATCACCTCTTGTTGGCTTACAGAAAAAACACAGCCCTCAAAACTGTTCTGGAACAGGTTCTTTGGTGACAAATCAGAGAGGAGACATGACTTTGTTTCAGTGACCAGGAGCTAGATTGTGATTGTGTGAAGGCCATGTTCCTTTCTGCTCATTTCAGATGGAAGTACTGACGTTTCCTGGGATAGGTGGACCAAGCATGAACCACTGTTTTAAGTTTATTAGCATTTATAAGGAATGTAATGTTCAAAATGGAGAAACAGGATTTCTTAAGTGGCCACGGGAGGTCACTGTGGCTCCTTTAGAAACCTAAGTCACTGTGTATCTGTTTGGCAAGTACAAATGTGACTCTAAAGGATTTTTGCAGAACTAACACTTCAATATTTCTGATGTGTGCATTTCAATAGTATATGGATGCCAGCTTTAAAAACTTTGTAGTATTCCTAATTTATATCATCAAGGTAAGTAATTTCATGCATACATGTAAAGAGTGATTCATATTTAAAATGTTCTTGATTTTTTCTTTCTTTGAGTACTTCAGTTTTGTAAAAATATTTGTACAAAAACTGGCTTTAGTATGTTCTAAACTAATTTTATATTGTAAAACTGCTCCTTTTAAGATGACAGTATATGGCACTTGTATGCTGTTACTTAACTTTGCTTGCTATATTGTAACCAAATACAGGGTCTTAAAGCCATACTGCTGAAGTAATTTGTGGTTTGTTTTCTTTTAGTAAGTTAAAACCTGATTCCACTCCAAAGTAATGCAATACTTGCTCTTAAATCGAAGCAGGGGAGCCACTGATTCCTGTGTTTCGACAATTACTGAAGTTGTATAAACATTTGTTTGTGAATGTAGCTTGTGGAATTTTAAGCATTTGAATAGGAATCACATGTTCATAACAGGTCAGATTCTGATTAAATAGGAGCAATCCATGTTGTATCTTTTTATTTCCCACTACCAGTGCCTTAACAGTAGACATTTTACTGACACCAGGGCTGTGTTCTCAAGTACTGTGGGTGAACTGTGAATTATGTTTACTGTTTAGAACTGTGAGAGCTGAAAGCTGAATAAAAGCATTCTTCTTTAAGTTTTTGTGCCGCCTTCCTCTTTGCAAACCAAGTACAGGATTATTTAGGCACTCATGTCATAATTTCATCACCTGAATGCTCTGTTCTTCTAAGAGACAGCTTAAACTTTTTTTTTTTTTTTTTCCCCCCATATTCCTTCCTGACATGCTTGTGGAATCATAGAATCAAGTAGGCTGGAAAAGACCTTTAAGATCATTAAGTCCAGCCTTAACCCCTGGACTGCCAAGACCACCACTAAACCATATCACTAGATTAGGTTAATTTTCAAGTCTCTATTTTTATGCAAATGAAAAATGCTTTTGCAGTGAACACATGTGATTGGGAATCTTGATGCTATCGTAAAGTACATATCAATATCAAATTCTCCAGAGGTCTTGCAGTGTAGACCAGTCACTTCCAAATTCAGACTGGTGATAGTTCACGTGTACTTTGGCCTTGTGGAGGCAGAATAGGAGAGGCAAAAACAATCGGCTTTCAGTCCGTGCTGTGTTACACTTGTAGACTTCTGTCTTATTTAGAGATTGGGCGCCATCGACTCATTCATTGATTGCTTACTTGGACTTTTAACTTCTGGTCTGGCATATGTGATAGTAGCTGACTGAGATTCCATCTCTTTTTTTGCTGTTAGCTCTGGGTTTTACTGCATGATTCTGGAGGTATTAGTAAGCATTAGACTTCTGATTCCCATTTTTCTAGTGTTGAAAGCAGTGGAGCAATAATTTACTTACGCATTCTGCCCCCAAAACTCTGACTTTCGAGACATAACTAATGCTAAGCAACCATAGCAGCAAGATGATAAAAGTAACCTTTATTCCATGAACTAAAAAATTTAAGATTGCTTTTTGCAAGCAGAAGATTGCAGAGAGTTTCCGAAAACAAGATGTGGAGCCTTCTATATTAAATTCAGTTTTTGAAGACTCAGGAAAGCTGTCATTATCTGAAGTCTGAAGGCAAAATTGCACATTAATGAGCCTCAACAGTCCTCATGTTTCTAAGGAAAATCAAGGGGATTATAAATCATGTAATGTTAAAGCAAAGCAAGAGAAGGGGAATTCACATCTCACTTTTGTAACAGGCAAATTAAAATAGGACTGCAAAGTTGATTGAGTACTTGAAGTTCTTGAAATTCCCCTTTCTGGGACATTCCAGAATTGTGGTGTGAAAAAGAAAATCTGTGGATCATTATTGGCTGATTTTAATGTTTATAATATAGAAAATTGCCATGTATTAAAATACTTCTTTTGTGGAATTCTCTTGATAATTTGTTTGGTTGTTAATCTGCTTTCAGGAGCAAAAAATAAAATTTTTAAATACTTCAGCATAGCAGGATATGTAAATGACAAGTGGTGAACTATTTGGGTCCCACATTTGATCACATGAGAGAATGAGGACTGTGAATCTATTCTTCTTTACCTACATCTGCAGATGGCCCTGGCATGGAGACACCCAAAAGGAACTGACCTTGTCTCCTCCTTGGTGACCAATAAAAACGGTCAGGAGGCAGAGGTAGCTCGCCAGCTGGGTAACTTCTTTTTTGTGCAGGAAAACTACCCTAACAGCAGCTCTAATGACTGCTGACTGGAGGAAAGAGTCTGAATTACTTTATTTTCAGTTCCTTAATTTCACATGGTTTAGGACCTTTTATTATCATGGTTGGAACTAAAATATGTTTCAGGAAGAGACCCAGGATGCTATTCCATTAGATGGTACAAAGCATTTTGACACTGTCCCACATGACATCCTTGTCTCTAAACTGGAGAGGCATGAATTTGATGTGGATAAGGAATTGGCTGGATGGTTGCACTCGAAGAGTTGTGGTAATGGCTCCATGTCCAAGTGGAGACTGGTGACAGGTGGTGTTCCTGAGCGGTTGGTACTGGGACCAGTGCTGTTCAACATCTTTGTTGGTGACACGAACAGTGGGATTGATGCACCCTCAGCAAGTCTGCTGGTGACACCAAGCTGTGTGGTGTGGTCAGCACACTGGAGGGAAGGGATTTCTTGTGAGATCCCACCTGCATCCAGCTACGGGGCCTCCAGCATAAGAAGGACATGGACCTGTTGGAGGGAGTCCAGAGAAGGGCCACGAAGATACTCCAAGGGCTGGGGTATCTCTCCTAGAGCGTGGCTTGTTCAGCGTGGAGAACAGAGAAGGCTCCAGGGAGATGATAGAGCAGCTTCCAGTGCCTAAAGGGGGCCTACAAGAAAGATGGACAGGGACATTTTACAAGGACATATAGAGATAGGAGGAGGGGTAACAGTTTTAAACTGAAGAGTGGGTAGGTTTAGATGCTGCACAGTAGTGTCTCTTACCTGCACCTCAAAAGCCTGGGGCAACGGCAGGAAATACAGCATGTAACCCCCAGGAAGGAGGGAGACGTGTGACTGAAGACCTAGTGAGTTCCCTGATTGTCTTGAGGAGAGCTCTTGCTGGTCCTGCTTCAAGTACATTAACTGTTGCCTGTCTAGCAAGGTAGCAGAAGTGATACAGGATATAACTCAAAGTAAACACGAGAAGTAACTGCCAGTGTCAGGTCAAGCTTGGTTAGAGCTCAGGAGGCATTCATAGCTCTGTGCTTATTAAGGACAGTTGGTCATAAGTGCTGATGGGTGATGTTGGCCAATCCACCAGCCTTTTCTTCCAAAGACTTCTTGAGACTATTCATCTTGCCTCTGCTCTGTTTGCAAGCTCTTTTCACTTGCGGTTAGAAACAAGTATGGTTCTGTTCATCAGGTATATTTCCTTGAGGTAATCCTTCACACGGAGCAGACCTGGAGCTCTGTTCCAGGCGCAGTGCTTGGATTCAGCCTACATTGTGCTCCCATGGCCTCATTCTGCCCGTTCATGTATCTCTGCTGAGAAGTACTCAATCTGTCTCTTGTCCCAGCAAACAAAGTTAATAATTTGTTCTTTCCATTACAGTTTGTTCAGGCTAGAATTTTCCTGTTGATGGATTGTATGTTGACCAGAATGCTTCTGATATTACAAATGCTAGTTCTGGAATGATTTTACACTTAATAAACAGTGAAATGCATTTTCAAACCAAATAAATTGTGGATAATAATCCCATAATCACCAGGTTATTATCATCTTGTGAGGAACAACATCAAGTACAGGATGCCTGAAAAAGATTAAAAGTCCTAGCAGATTAAGACATGTTTTTGTTTTACAAGAGCTGGCTTACCTCTGTCATGCCTTGCTACTTGTTCACCTAAGTGGTATAATTAAAACTTCAACAAATGCTTGCTTTTGAAGCCTGTAATTGTCCTGCCAGTCTTTCAAAAACTGACGAAGTATTTATTGCCCTTCCAGCATTGTCATAGGTGCTTATAGTGAGTGGTTTCACAACCTTTGTTAGCAATTAACCCACTTCATTCTTAAAATCTTTCTGGTTTCTCGAATACCGTGGAGGGTCAATGGGTTACAGTGAAGAGGACGGAGAATGCAGAAAAGCAGAAAGGAAAGAGGTACTGAAGTTAAGCTGTAAAAATGAAGTCTATATGGCTTTTATGTCCATATATGCAGCCATAAGCTCATAGATTTAGATACTGATCTCCATCTTGGAGTCAGTCTTGGTAAACCTTTCTGAGAAGTTTCTATCATACTCATCA